TATCAATAAAGACGATCTGACCCTTCAATTAATTAAATTCGTGTATATTTCTTTCATAGTTTAGACGTAATTAAACTTCCTGTTAGCAAATAAAATTGTTAACTTAACGACGAACAGTTTAAGCTTAACAACGTCGATTATTGCCTTTTGCAGATTTGAGATTTTCTTTTTTTTTTCCAACGAGAAATCATTGAATGATCAATAGTAAAATGACGAGTAGCTGTTCTTAAACCATATAATTTTGCATATTGTAAAATTTCAAGCTTTTCAAAAGTAGAATAAGAAGAATATTTAATTTTAAGCATTATAAACAAAAAAAGTGGTAAATGGTAAATTTGTTACTATCGATCATATTTATTTATGCTGATTATTTATATGTAATACAATAAAGTTATAATATTTTCAATATTTTCGCAAAATTAAAACATTTTTTTTAGGATGGACGGTTAGATTTTAAAAAATTTTTTAAAAATTAGATAAGAATTTTTTTTTTTTTTAAAAAAGTCACAAATATTTATGTAAATCATGTAAATCAAGTAATATAAAAAAACAACCGATGTTAAACACTACTCAAAGATTTAATCTGATTTTCCCTTCAAAAATGTGATACTTAAAATCGGAAGAATATAGTAATCATATTTTAAGAATAACATGACTATCTTCTGAAGTTTTGAGCTCTTTTTCAAAAGAAGATAAAACTCACATAATCAAGGCTAAATGTTAGATGACTTTATGTTGATCATACTTAATATAATATACAAATCTATAATAAGTATATAGATATTGGTCAAGCTACTTTCAAAAAATAGTATAACAAATATTTTTTAAAAGTAATATCATGTTATTGATTTTAGACTCTATATAAGTTAGGACCTTCTCATATCTCTCTCTCAGATAGTATGTATAAATCAACATAACAATTCTTAAATCTTTTCTAAGAAAAGAATAGAATATTCTAACTAGTTCTATAAAATCATTTTCATAAGACTTTGTAAAAAGAATTTAAGGAATTTTAATATAATCTTCTAATAACAGTTATGTTAAATCCAATTGTAATTGTTAAAAATAATTTATCATATTTTTTTATTTAAAGAAATTTCATCTTCTTCTTAAAGGTAATTATATATCAATATATATATATATTATTTTTTTAAGATGATTCGGAAGTGAAAGGCGGCTATATATATAATCAAGTACTAAATTAAACTTAGTATCATTGTTAAGCTTAATCTGTATATCGTTAAGTTATCAATTTATATTTGCTAATAGAGAGGTTAATTACATCTAACATATGAAAGAAATATATATATGTTTAATTAATTAAAGGGTCAGATTGTCTTTATTGATATTTATTATTTGAAGATAATTAGTTAATTCTTAGTTTATTTAAAAATCTCTATTTCAAGTTATTCTTCAATTCAAGGACAAATACAATAGGATGAAAATGGGTTTCTGGAACAAAAATCCAAAAGATATTCAGAAAGGTTCCTGTTCACCCACGAATCAATTTTAGCTATATGAATCAAATTATCAAATTCAAACCTTTAACGTAATTTAACTCAAATATAGATGATGATATCGAACTTGGTTAGGAATTAGTCTTCAAATACCAAGAATTATACTGTTTTATATAGCCATTCTAGCCTGATTTTAATCCCAAATAATACATCAAAAAATTTTTACTATTCAGTTTGCCTCAGGAGAGACCATTGAAAATCAAGAAACAAAGTGATGTGATTTGAGCTGGGCCTGATATTGCAAACCTAATATAAATAATAACTTTTATGCTATTCTGCTTGCCTCTAGATGTACAGTCAACCCTTGATATAACGAATTTTATGTCTTGAACTTCAACTTCGCTATAGAGCTATAGTGAATTTTTTAAAGAATTTGATTGGCTAGTTCGTTATAACGAGGGTAAATTTAATATAGTTGTCCAAAAAATTCGTTATATAAAAATTCGCTATAGAGAGGTATGACTGTACCATCAAAAATCAAGAAACAAAGTGAAGTAATTTGAGTTGAAACCAATCATGCAAGCCTAAAATGTATACTATATACTAAGTCTAACCTCTTTGAGATTTGATTTAGCAGTTATATAGTTAGCAAATCAAAGCTTAATGATTATATTCTAGCATATTATCAATTTATCAACATACAGGAAACTATTTTAGAGCCATTTCCTTTACACAAACTTGAGACAAAAAAGTCTAATCTTTCGTCTACCTATATGTGAAATCTGACTGCAAAAAAAAAGTCTAACTTCTCAACTAACTATATAATAAATCTATCTTTTACTAAAAGTCTAATCTCTTGAATACATATCAAACATCAGGGCCTTATTCCGAAATCTATTAATATATTAAATCATATAATAGCTTCTAGTATGAAGATGACAATGATCACAAAATGACCCAGTAGGCTTACCACATCCTGATTTATGTAAAACTGATGCTTTTTAGCTTTATAATGCAATCAATAACCTTCAGATTGAGTACAGGCTTTACCACAAGTCTTGCCAGAGTTATGAAAATAAGTACAAATAAAATCCGCTTTCATTTTCTGAATATATATATAAATAATTTTAATTAAATAAAACTTTACACAATATATTAATACAAATACCTTTATAATGAGTACACAAATTCTATTAACTGAAAATAAGCAAATCTAAAAAGTTAAGCTTACTTCCCAGAAAGTTGAAAAGGCTTTAATCAAAGTACTTAAGGCAGGAATTCTCTGTAGAAGACCAAAAGATGGTAAGTTTATACAAAATTATAAAAAGACATGTTCTAGAATTACGTCAGATAGAAAATCCCAAATCATGTATCTTAAAAAATGTGAGAAGATACTTTTAATAGAAGACAAATATAAGCAAGTTATTAGTAATTATAAATCTTATTATGATAAAGATTTAAAAATTCTTAATGCTGTTATAGAACTATATGGGTTATACTATAGGTTAGCTAAGGATTATTTTATTACAGAAGAACAAGCTGATAAAACACTTGAGAATTTTCTTATCATGTAAGCACCCATCGAGGTGGTAGTTAAGCTTCTTTAATAACCATCAATTTTTCTCTTACAAAAGATCTTTTCAGGCTATATCACATAACACCTGAATTATGCTTTATTATTTTGTAATAAAGCTAATAACTTAATAGTAACTCACAGATTAACTACTAAGCAAGAAGTGCTAGTCTTCTTAACTTAATCATAACTTTTTTTAAGTATAGTAGTTTTGCAAAACTTTATTAAAAAAATAATTAAGAATTATATATGTTCAGAATTTACAAAAATCTCTATATAAATAATCATAAAACTTATCTATATCAAGAACAATCCTGCACTTTTATAGAATCTAATACAACTGAAATTATATTATTATATTTTAGAAATTAGGAAAGAAAAAAGGTTTAGCCACTATTACACTAAAAATTTAATCAGTAAGATCCTAAATAAATCATTTTATCTATTAAAAAGATGAAGTAAAAGGACTTTGTAATAAAGGAAGAAGATCTTATATTAGAAGTTAAATCAAAAAATTATCATTATATTATTATGAGTGATTTTAATATAGACATAAAATGAAAATATTCTTCATCAAAATAAAAAAGATACCAATATTTTCTCACTCAACTTGAAAATCTAGGCCTAATAAATAATTTGAAACTTTTTAATCATCCTTACCTATTAACTTTTTCTTCAAATACTACTTCTTCTCTCAATTACCTTTTTTCCTCTTCTTCTCTCACACATGATCTTATCTTTTCAACTTCTTTAAATACTTACTCATATAATTACAAATCTGATCACACTTTATTAGTTTTTTTCTTTTACAAAAATAATATTTTTTATCAAAAATTCAACGTCTCACTCAAATAGAAAAATGATCAAAACTAAATTTCTGTATAATCAAACTTCTAAAGAAATATAAAACAAATTTTTAGCAAAACTAGATAATTTAATTTTTCAAGATCTTTTACTATAATTTCTCAATTTAGATTCTCAAACATTTTCTTATAATAAACTTAATTTCATTTGAGATTCATTCAGCTGTATAATTATTCAAGCATCTAAAATACTCTTTTTAAATACTTCACCACTGATCAAATATCTAATGACTTCCTCTACACTTATCAATCTTCTTATAAATCTCTCAACAAAATCAACAAATTTTATCTTAATGTTACAAAAATTTCAACCACAATACATATTTTAATATAATAAATACAACAAATATATTAATATTATTAATCTTTAAATTGTTCAAAAAATTCCTACTCAAAACATTAAATCAGCATATGATAATAAATCATTTCCAACATTTTGACATATCTTAAAAAAGTCATTATTATATATAAATCAAAAAATTAAACTTCTTGATAAAATAGAAGACAAACAATATATATTACTTCATTTATATATTAACGGGTAAATAACTTTACTGATAATCCATCAGCAATGATTGATTTGTCTTGAAAGAAGAAAAATGTTGATTATACTAGATAGTATTCTCATAAAAGATGATCAATAACAATCCTATTTAGAATTAGATCCTTCTAAAATTCCTACACATACTAGTACTCATTTTTAAACAATAGTTAATTCAAAAAATTCCAAGAAAGAATCGCATTCATTTTGGAATTTTTAGAAATAAAATTATAATGGTTTAGAATATATTGATGAAAATTGCTATTCCTTATTATTAGATCTTCTTAATTTCAATGAATAGATCTAACTGATTAATCCTTTTCTAATAATAAAGCTGCTGATCTGTCAGGCATCACTTATGAGCTTATTAAATATTTCAATGTTGATACTTTTAAATTGCTTTTCAAAATTTTCATATTTGTACAATTTTTTACAAGATATTCTTGCAAGATGAAAACTTGTTTATATTTATCCTATTCCTAACTCCAAGCCATGGTAATGTAATCTCAATAATACTTTGTTAAGTAAACAAATTTGATGTAGATTGCTAATTATGCAAAATTAGTCTTATTAATCATATTTCAAATTTTTACTGAATATTATTTAGATTTTGAGATTTAAAATAAATACAAAATCATATTTTTAGTATTCGTAGTTGGTGAATTATAAGCTTTTAAAAGCAAGCAACTCTACTTGCATTTCTTTTGGAAGCTACTAATATAATATAATAATAATTAAAAAAAATAAAAAATCAAAAAATATATTATACTGATTTATAATCAGGTAAATATTTTATATTTATATTAAATTTTAATTTTAAATTATAAATCTCTTATTTAATATTATAATGAATTAATTTATATAATATAAATAAAATTTATTTTATTTTTTTTACAACTAATTTTGTAATTTATTAATTACTAATAAATTGTAGCTGAATGTAACTAAAAATATTTTATAATAAAATTATTATAAAATATTATGACTAAATGAGGTGAGTGCTGAGAAAAGAGACCAAATCGACAAAAAAATTTTTTTTGAAATAACAAATGTTCTGAATCGAATGACCAAATCTACATCTACTTTACTTAGAAACTTTTTTTTAAAAAAAAAAAAATTTGGTCCATTTTCTTAGCACTTATCTCAAATAAGACTGAAAAATTATTAATGATTTATAAATTATAAAATTAGTTATAAAAATTTATTAATTAATTTCAAAAATTTAACGAATTATATTTATTTAATAATTAAATGTGTAAAATTGCAATCAAAATAATGTATACAATTTAATGTTTATACATAAAAAATTTAATCAAAATAATGCATAATATATTAATTAGATTTAAAAATCTAACATATATTGAATAAATATATAAAATCTATGTAAAATTATATAAACATATAAATTTAGTATTTTTCTAAATACAAAAAAGTCAATTTTCAGTATTTAATATATAAAAATATCTTTGAATATATTATAATATATATATATATATATATATTTTACATATATTATATATTTTTAAACATATATTTTTCTTATACAATTTATTTATAGGAAATTATTGTTTATATAAAAGGCATAATATTTGTACTTGTGTAAAATATAAAGCTGATTAAGAAAATAATATAAATAATATTTAAAATAACAAGTTTATTAGTATTAGTAGTAATTATTAATATGTTTAAAAGTTAATAATTTTAATTATGTAATTGTATGATAGTTAATATAAATACTAAATTAAACTTCTATAATCATATGATACTTTACATATGTAATATATGTTATATACTGATGAAAATCATCACTAATAATAAATAAAAAACTTGTTTATTATTTATAGAAAAAAAAGTAAAAATAATTTCTTATTTAATAAATATAAATTGTAATACATTATAAACAAACTAGAAATTGTGAATAGAAGAAACTTCAGTTCCTATGCAACTTTTCAACCTACCCTATTCATTGCAATGCAATTTATAAGAATTATTTACTAATAAAATAAAAAGAACAAATAATTACTTGAAATACATATATAAATTGTTTGTCTTTATATAAAAGAATATATTAATTAATTATATTATAATCTATATATATAAATATTGAAAAATTTTAAAATTAACATATTTATAAAGGCAAAACTATAGCGGCCTTTAATTCAAAGTGTTTATATTCTTCAATCATCAAATTGTCTGTAATGAAAGCTGAAGGATGTATAGACGTGATATGCACTTTAGACCAATCTGAACATTAATTCAATGCTACATAAGCTTGTTCAGCAGAAAATATTTGATTATGAGAATCAGCAATCCTTGCTCAGTGGTTAAGCTGCGAGCCCTATTAAGCTAAAGTTTCATTATACAGCAATAGGCCATGATTCAGATATCATGCGATACATAAAACTGTATGATTTTCCATAAGGAATTTCTTTGTAATTGAACAAGTGGGCGTATATACTAATATGCGTTAGATTCTGGTTGATCAATCTGTTGATTAACATTGATCATGCCTAAATACTGCATGGCATTAGAACATGGGAAAGCAAATAAAACCAGAGATTGACAGAAACTTAGCCTTCGCTAATTGGTCTATAATGGATACAGTCTTCCTTCTCACCTGGTAGGGGCCCTTATTTCCGTAGGCTTGTGTACATAAGTGCATATGTTTATCAATTAAGGAAGTGATTGACCAGAAATTAGTAAATTAGATCAAAGGTGATAATAAACTGCATTGCATGCTGCAGCATCATCTAATCGAGCATATCATTGGGTTTGAGGTTAGATTCAATTCCTAAAATATTTGTCGATATAGCCAGATCATCACCCTGCTAGTTTACCGTTTAGGCAAATCTTATGGTAATAATCCCATGAACCCTGTGGCATTAGTTGGATAAGAGTATACTTTAGCAAGGTATATGATGTAATAGATCCCTCAGTCCTATAGTGGTATGTAGTTCCCAGATAGGTAGTAACCAGAGGGGATGTCAAATCCTCTATAAAGGCTTAATTCCGCTTACAAGGTAATATCTGGACCAGTTTATCAGTATGGGTTGCCAATGAACATATAAGCCAGTGGAGACCTAATAGTGTGACCGACATATATTTTCATAAGATTCTAGTCATAACGTCACATATCAATCACCAGAACTGTAATAAAAAAAAAATTTGATTATCAAGAGGATTAGCATTCCTTGCTTAGTGGTTAAGTCGCGAGCCTCTATTAAGCTATAAGCTTCATTGCAAAGCGATAGGCCATGGTTCAGGTATCGTGCGATATATAAAACTATATGATTTTCCATAAGGAATTTCTTTATAACTGAACAAGTGGGTGTATATACTAATATGCGTTAGATTCTGGTTGATCAATCTGTCGATTATGCCTAAATACTGCATAGCGTAAGACAAAAAAATTAGTCCTCACAGTTTTAGATGCAGTCTTGCTACTATTTTAAATAAACGAGAGGCTCGTTTAACTTCTATTCAAAAAATATTAGAACAAGTAGATGCAAATGAAGCCTGGGATCGACAAAAACTTGGCCTTCGCTAATTGGTCTGTAATGGATACAGTCTTACGTCTCACCCGGCAGGAGCCCTTATTTCTGTATATGATCATAAGATAGCATATAAATTAAGAAAGTGATTAACCAGAAATTAGTAGATTAGATCAACAGTGATAATAAACTGCATTATACGCTACAGCATCGTCTAATCGAACATATCATTAGATCTGAAATTAGGTTCAATTCCTAAGATGTTTGTCGATATGGCCTGATCATCACTCCCGTTAGTTTACCATTTGGGCAAATCTTGTGGTAATAATCTCATGAACCCTGCGGCATTAATTGGGGTAAGAATATACCCTAGCAAGGTATATGGTGTAATGGATCCCTCAGTCCTATAGTGATATGTGGTCCCAGATAGTTAGTAACCGGCAGGGGAGGTCAAATCTTCCTAATGGACTTAATTTTAGCAACAGTATCACTAAAGGCGATGGCAATATTTGGGCCAGTTACAACGGTGTAGGTTACCAATGGCAGAAATAACCAGTGGAGACCTAGGGGTGAGGCTGACATAAATAGGATGCTTGATATCCTCAGTTTAACGTCTCATCTAAACCTACGTACTGAAAAAAAAAAAAAAATATTTGATTATCAAGGCATATAGATACTTCTGGTAAAGTTAATCCTTGTGTTTTATGTACTGTTAGTGCAAAAGCATTTTGTAATGAAAATTGGTATCTGCTTGATGGTTTTCCATCAATCATAAATAATATAATTTCTCTTTTTATTCCAATATTAACAATTTCACCCATTACACTACACTAAATGCTATCCTTACTTCTAAAGCTTTCAGATCAATATCAGTTACAATTCCAATAGTCCCATTACAAATATTTTGTTGAATTAAATCATTTTTAAGATATATTACATACATTACACATGCATCTTGTTATAAACGTAAATGACTTGATGATTAGTCTTCTTTTTAAATAATTTTTCGAAAATCATCGTGATCATTTTGTTGCATATTAATGAAATTAATAGTTGTGATAATCTAAAATTTGTTTCGTTCACTGGAAGCATATTATAAATAAAATGATTAATTCAATCAGCAGTTTGTTTATATCCAATGATATTTGTAGTATTAAGTGTAACATTAAGTGATTGTTGATGATCAAAACTTCTAGTTTTTTGATATAAAAAGTTTTATGTAGTTAAAGACATAGTTAATCTAATTTCTTGTAATGCATTATAATATTGCAAATCTTGAATTTGTCTTTATGAATGTCTTAGAAATAAAGGATAAAATAATTTCTGTTCAGAACATTTATATATTGGTAATCCAGAAACTGGAAGTAATTGTGCTAAATCACCTACAACAATTATATTTATTCCACCAAATGCTATTGTTTGTTGCTGAATAATCGAAAACATATCAGAAAAGAAACTAAAAAGTTTTACAGAAACCATTGAAATTTTATTAAATATTAAAGTATCGATTTTTTTTAAAGTTTTAAAAAATTCAATATTATAAAAAGCCAAGGATTGGAATTTGCCAAGAGTTTCATGAATTCTTAATGCAGAATGTATGGTTTCTTCTTTAATATTCTGAGCTGCTACTTCAGTTAGAGTTAATAATAAGTAATTTGATTTTTTTTGGTAAATCTTTTAATTATAAATGATTTTCTAATTCCAATTGAATTAGTAATAAAAAAATAAGAATATTTATTTTTTTGTGTTCTTAAACCTAAAATATTACGAATAATTGAAATCGTATTTAACTAATCAATTGAAAGATTTAATGCATTGCATTGAGTATAAATTGGTGGATTAAGTCACAAAGATTTAAGTAGAATATCAATAATTTCTAATATAAAAATTGGAAGAATAGATTGTAAATTATCAAGCAATGTATCTAATACTTGATTGAATGTGACATCTAAATTTAATTGTTAAGATCGCAAATATTCTTGAATTACTTGTTACATTATTTCAAGTAATTCTGGATGATAATGCAACCAATGTTCTCGATAAGTTAAAAAGTTTCCAAGTATTTCTTCTTTACATTAACAAGGAATTTCAAGTAAAAGTTTTTGATAAAAATATATTTTACCATTTTGCAATTTTAAATAATAAAATATAACTAATTTTGGAATGGTTCTTTTTATCACATAATTACCCAATTGATTAGTATAAATATGTTGCTTTCTCATTAAAGAATGAATTGTATTTACTTCATAATTTTTAGAATAATTTGAATAAGTTATATTGTTAAATTATTCATGATCAGATCAATCAAAATATTTTTCGATATGATTTTTACAATAGGGATCTTCTTCTTCTCCATTGATCAAATAAATAGGATGAATAGCTTTTTGTCTACTTGTAAGAGAATTTATAGTAAAATACATAACTGAATAAGATGAATTACAAATTGCTTCACCTAATATTAAGAACATTAATTCTATTGAACCTAATCTTCGAGCTATTATATGTTCTTTAAATTTGTTATCTTTTTTATATTAAAAACATGAAAAGGATCCACTTTAGCTAAATATTTTGTTAAATAAAAAGCTTACTTACGAGAACTGACATATTCATGTAAGCATTCCAAATGATTAAAGTTTCAGGATGATAAGGAACTACCATTGATCTTCAGATTTTATACATCTATATATATAATGTTGTGCATTTTTATCATAATATGTAATTGAAAGAAAAGGGGATGGGAAATTTTTTTTTGTAAACTTACCCTAGTATTACCAGACCTCCACATTTTAAAATGCATGTATAGATTTGATTTGCTATTATTTATGCATATAAATCTGGTTTAGTAATTGGATTTGTTAAATCAGATCTTATAAGATTCTCAGCAATTATTTGTTCAATTGTTTTTGTAGTCCAATATATATTATGTGTATGGACTGCATTACAATTTTGAAATTCTACTCTTTCAAAAAAGTGTTTAATTTCACATCATTTTGAATGCTCAGGTTTTTTCCAAATGTGTTTTTTAAATTGTTGTAAATGATTTATGAAGTATAATATATTGTGTAAAAGTCTATTTGATGGTATAGTATTATGATTATCTGTTACTTTTAAAATTCTATGTAAATGTATCTAATGATTTTCTGCCATTATAAGCATGATAAATAAAGATGGTAAATCATATAAAGAAATCATTTTATTTACATGAAATTCCTTTTCATAAAAGTAAGTATTACCAGTACGAATAAAAGTTGGCAATATAGTTATTATAGATTCATTTATTATTTATCTATTAGAATAGCTTGACCTTTAAATAATTTGTGTTACAATTGGCAATTGATGAATCTTATTAGCTTAATTTTGTCTTAAAATTCGTTGATTATTTTAATGATTTTGAATTTTTTCTAATTGTAATTATGACCATACCATCCATTTATGATGAAGTCTAAATCAAGAATCTATATTAAGTATACATTGTTTAATATATTTAGAATAAGTTTCTTTAAGTATAATGTTTTGTATGCTGTAATTAAGATTCATATTTTGATAGTATCCTTTTCCATTTGAAAATAAGTCAGGAAATAATAAATCTTCTAGATTTGGATCATTTATACCTAAGGGTAATAATATATTATCAGGATATTTAATAAATCTTGCCATTAAGTATGAATAATGATAATCTTCATTGTGAATTTCAATGTTAAAAATTAACATTTAATACTATAATTTCATTAAGTAAAAATGGTGGTACAGAATTATCATCAGATATATGAAAAGCACTGAAAAATGAATTTGCAGTATTAGAACTAGGAAGATTTAAAAGACGTGAATAAATCTTTAAGAAAGTATTATATAATTTTAACCAATCAGCTGCTGCGATTAACGTATCATTAGTATCATTAAGCCAAGAAGTATCTGATATTGAATCATTATCTTCAAGATAAACACTAACCATTCCAGAATATAATATTAATGAACACATATTTTTTGAAAAATTCATTATACTGGTTAATGTTTTATATTCTGAATACATTGTGCTATAGTTAGAATTTCTACCTAAAGAACAATGCATAAATACAGAAAATAAATACATTCTTTTTTCTAAAGGAACTGCTTGAATTTCATTTGGAATAGAATGAAAAAATATAAATATATATCTTTTTGTAGGATTCTTATATGATAAACATATAGCAATACGTTTTGGAAGTTTAACATGAAATATTAATAGTAATTCAGGTTGTTTTTCAGGATATGTTTGTAAAAGAGGATAAAATAAAGTTTTATTATAATTTAACCATTCACATTTTTATGAATATATTAAGCATCCACAAAATGCATATATAGCATAAATAAATGATTTAAGATATTTAAATTTAATTTAGTTTAAAAATTTAAAAATTTTGTATTCGATATTCAAGGATCAATAGGTAAATAAGTTGAAACATTAGAAGGAAGAAGAATAAGTCTAGAATTTGCAATTTGATATGATTGCCCGCAATATAAACTAAAAAATCAGAGATCTAAAAAAATAAACAATACCATTTACTCTAAAGAATCTATAACGAAATTCCATTTAAAAACCTAAAAAATAAAAATTCACTTACCTGAAGTAGTCTACAAGTGAAAGATCAAAAAATATTAATAATTGATAAGTCGACAAAATGAAAAAAAAAGATTTACTTACCCGAAATACCCAAAAGCAGCCTAAAACAAAATCTGTCTTAAAGATATAAAAAAAATTAATAATGAAAAGAATTAACGTAAGATGAAAAAAAAATCTACTTACCTGAAATATCTAAAGCAGCCTAAAGTAAAAATCTCCATAAAAATCTAAAAAAGAATAAAGAAAAGAATTAATATCAAAAGATAAAAAAAGAAATCTACTTACACTAAATACACGAAAACAGCCTGAAATGAAATCTGTCGCAAATATCTAAAAAAAAGAATTAATAACAAAAGACAAAAAAAAGGATATCCACTTATCCGAAATGTCTAAGGTAGTTTAAAGTGAAAATCTGCTACAAAGAGTTAAAAAAAGAAGAACTAATAATGAAAAAATGAAAAAAAAAATCTATTTATCCAAAATACCCAAAAGTAAGCCAATGCAAAAATCCGCCCAAAAAGATTTAAAAAAAATATTATTAATCAGAAAACAAATACTAAAAAAAAATACTTACCCAAAGCAACTTCAAGACTATAACGCGAAAAATCTAAAAAATAAAAAATATTATCATTAATAATCATAAAACGAAAGTAATCCAATAAAAATAAAAACATTATATTAACTCAAAGCGTCTTAAAGCCCAGATCTAAAAAAAAAGTTTAATAATCAATCAAACGAAAATAATGCAACGAGAATGAAAATATCAAATCAATTTACCCAATGTGACACCAAAGTAAAAATCCACCCAAAAGATCTAAAAAAAAATTAATAACATAAAAAAAAAAGAAATCTACTTATCTGAAATATCTGAAAGCAGCCTGACATGAAAATCCGCCAAAAAATATCTAAAAAAAATATTATTAATCAGAAAATAAATACTAAAAAAAAACAAAAAATAATACATATTCAAAGAGCTTCAAGGCTATAACACAATGTTTGGAAATGACCTGGTCATTTGACCATTTAAATGATTTGTCTATTCCTTTGTCATAATCATAAATTATTTAGCATTTGTTATTTCGCAAATGATCTAAATGACAAATGATAAATGATCAAGATCATTTAAGATTATTTAAATCATTTGTCATTTAGTCATTTACTTTTACAAAAAAATTAGCAATACTCTTAAAGAATCGCAAATTCTTAGCGAGTTTTGCAATTTTATCTCCTAACGATAAAGAATCGTTCTGGTAGAATGATAGAAGAATTATTCTAAAGGAATGATTAAAAGCATTGTTTCTTAAGAATGATAAAAAATCGTTCTAAAGGAACAATACAAAAAATCATTCCAATAGAACGATAAAGATCGTTCTAAAGGAATAATACAAAAAATCATTCCAATAGAATGATAAAGATCATTCTAAAGGAATGATACAAAAAAATTATTCCAATAGAACAATAAATCATCATTCTATCGGAATGATAAAAAAATCATTCCTTAAAAATGATAAAAGGTTATTATAAAGAAACGATACAAAAAATCATTTTAATAGGATGATAAAGATCGTTCTAAAGAAACGATACAAAAAAATAGTTCCTTAAGAATGATAAAAGGTTATTTTAAAGGAAGATAAAAAAATTGTTCCAATAGAACGATACTATTTTGTTATAAAGGAATGATATAAAAAATCATTTTAATAGGACGATAAGATCATTCTAAAGGAATAATACAAAAAAATCATTCCAATAAATTGATAATACATCATTCTAAAAGTTCTAAAAGAATGATACAAAAAATCGTTCCAATAGAACGATAAAGATCGTTCTAAAGAAATGATACAAAAAAATTATTCTAATAGAACGATAAAAGGTCATTTTAAAGGAACGATAAAAAATCATTTTAATAGAATGATACTACATTGTTCTAAAGAAACGATACCAAAATCAATAGAATGATAAATCATCATTCTATTGGAATGATAAAAAATTGTTCTTTAAGAACAATACTACGTCGTTCTATTAGAATGATAAAAAAAATCATTTTTTAAGAATGATAAAAGGTTGTTCTAAAGGAACGATAAAAAAATTGTTCTAATAGGGTGATACTACATCATTTTAAAGGAATGATACAAAAAATCATTCCAATAGGATGATAAATATTGTTCTAAAGGAATGATACAAAAAAATCATTCCTTAAGAATTATACTATATCATTCTATAGGAATGATAAAAAAATTGTTCCTTTAGAATGATTCTTCTATTATTCTATCAGAATGATGCTTTTAATCATTACTTTAGAGCGATTCTTTATCATTCTATCAGAATGATACTTATTGTTCTTTTGAATGAAACTAAAAAATTGTTCAATTTTTAGCTTGAATTTAGCACTTGATTTAATTTTACTGGATTTGTTTGACTCATAATTTGAGTCGACTCATTCGGATCTCGAATATAATTTAATATACTATTATATATTATATAAAATATTTGCCCAATATGAAATAATTTTTTTAATATATATAATTAAATATTTTAATAATTTAACTTATTTACACTATAATAAACAAAATAAATTATAAAAATTTATAAAATTGCTATATTTAAAAATTATTGAAATGACTGGTCATTTGATAATTGAAATGATAGGTCATTTGTCATTTGTCATTTGAATCATTTGCCAGTTATAATCATTTGGCAAACACTGCTATAATATGAAAGATCTAAAAAACAAAAAATATTAGTAATCAATAAAACAAAAAATGAAAAAAAAATATAAATCCACTTATCTGAAGCGGCTCTTAAGCGAAGGATCTAAAAAAACAAATAATATAATAATTAATTAAAAAAAATGAAATCCCACTTATCCAAATTGAAATCCACCTTAAAACATCTAAAAAAAATTAGTAATCAATAAAATAAAAAATAAAAAATAACAATCTCACTTACTAAAATCTGTCTAAATGAGAAACTGTTCAAAGATCTAGATCTACAAAAAACTGAAAAACTAATTAATAATTAATCAAACGAAAAACCAAGTATACTACTTACTCAAAGCGGCTTAATGTGAAAAAGTAAACTAAAGAAAAAGAAAAATTTAAATAGTCAAACAAATAAATAATAATAAAAAACCAATCCAGCTTATCAAAAGTGACTTAAATCGAAAAAAAATTATCTATAAATTATTAACAATACAAAAGTAAAAACAAAAAAAAAATATTTGCCTAACTGTTAACAATAAATATTACAAAAAAAATAAAAAAATGTGTTTAAACTAACAATGATAAAGTTTACATAAAATTATGGCATTATTAAACTAAAATTAATTGATCATTTATTTATTTTAACTATTTTTAGTAAGTTACAGATTATTGGCTGAAATTTTTTTTTGTTTTTTATATAATTGATTACAAATTATTTAGACTATTATCTAATATATTTAATATATGAAAATATTTCTTTTTCTTGATATGTAATAAGACTGGTTTTTAATTAATAAATTTTTTTATTTATTTTATGCTAATACGAAAAAATAAAAAAAATATATAGTATTTTGAATCATCTAAGATGAAAAAAATAAAAATTACTATTATTTATTATTTAGAAACTAACAAATCATTAAAATATATTTTTTGATTATATTAAATTTTTTTTTAAAAAATAAATAAGTTTATTATATAAAATAAAAAAATGTTTATTTATTTTACAGTAAATAAAATTATAAAAAAACATTATTTTGTATGAGATGAACGACCTTTAGATTTTTTTAATACAGATACAATTTCATGAGTTAGTTCTTCTTACTTCTAAATTTTTTCAGTAATTTCTTCAGAAATTTCTTTAGAAATTTCTATTGAAGTTTTAGCTACAAATGCATTTAACGCAATATCTGATAATTTTGTCAATTTGTTGGCTGAAACTTTGTTTTTATTTCTTGTTTTCCTAATAAAGGTATAGAATACTATTGCTCTTGAATCTTGTTATAAATTATTGATTTTGTAGTTGTCATATTTGATGATGTTAATAGTGATGATAATGATGATGATGATGATGATATAGAAAACTAAGGCATTTATTTTGTAGATTTTGATCCAAAGTTTGATTGATGTTTAGTACGTAAAAAACTAAAGTTATGTAATTCCAAATAAAGTTTCCTTTAATTAATATTAAGGCACTTGAAACAAAAATTGAAAACCATTGTTTTAACATCATTATTTGATTTTTTAAACAGCTTTCATTTGGATGAAATATTATTATTAGAATTTAATTTGGCTTATCCTTAACCATATAATCTAAATAATTCATTCAAATTGTATACCAAGATTTGTAAGAAGTACTGAATTTAAAACTAAAGCTGTTATTAGGATTCCATAATTTGATTT